CTGTTAATTTTTTTTTTTTTTTTTTAATATTTACAGTAGTACTGATTCAGTTAGTCAGCTGGGCTACCTTGGAGTTATTAGCCCTGCTATTGAAACATTTGCAGTAGCAGTAACATTAAAATGGATTGCCTAATATTCTGGTAGTGTAGGAGTAGGAAGTTTTCGTTTGCTGTTGTCAACTTTTCTGTCTCCCAGTGAGTTCAATGGGACAAAAGCCTCTACTGAATGCATTTCTATAGAGTTTCTCTTCAGAGGTTTCTAGGTGTCTTAGATCTAAGGCAGAGAGAATAAAGTGGCAAATGATCCTCTTACCAGAGAGGCAGTGGAGGCAGGTCTTTTAAGTGTCAGGGTGAGATAGTTGGAAGGCTTGCACTTGGTATTTTCTAACTTTCTCTTGTGCTGAAAAGTTGGATCCATAAACCAAGTTTAATAATTCTAAAGCTGATGGAGGAAGTGGTGGAGAAGGGAGGTGGTATTTGACGCTCAGTGAAACAGAACTAGTTTGACAAGAATTCTCCTGGCCTTTTTAAAAGGGTTGACATGACCTGTATTTGATTTGAATATTACAAATTGATTGAGAGCTGGGAACTGAGTTTTACTTGATGCAGATAATCCAAAACAGGAAGAGGTGCTTTGGCTATGCTGACCAGGGTCAGAAGCAGTGTATAAAGAAAGGAGAAGCCAGATAGCTTAGAAGAGTTATACTCATGGGGACTCTTACCTTTGTTACGATGTAAAACCTTTATCTTTGTTATGGTGTAAAACCTGGCAGTCTTATTTACTACATAGTATTTCAGACTGGCAAGTGGCTCTTGCTCCCAAATGGGATCAAACCTCAAAAACCAAACCAAAACAGCAGCAGCCTGCCAGGATTGTACATCCTGTACATCGGTACTTCCCGCTGTCTCGACACACCATAGGAAGCAAGAACGATCCGTGACTTTCTCTGTCAATTTCACTTAGTACAGAGTTTTTTATATTGTTAAGTCAAGAGAACCAAAAGAGCTAAGCATCAAAGCTATGATAGCAAGACAGCCTCTCTCTACTGAAGTACTTCTGATTGCATGTATTTATTTTGGGCTATTCTACATTATGTGATACCTTTTATAATCATGTTGTTGCACTACTGTTACTGACAAATGAAATCAACTTCTCTTTGTGTTTAGATCCAAATCCTGATGTGAAATGAGTACAGACTTCCACAGACTCCTTTTTGACATTTCTGAGGCTTTGGTCACAGATGAACTGGCAGCTCTGAAGTTCCTCAGCCTGGAGCACGTCCCCATGAGGAAGCTGGAAACCATCCAGGAACCCAAGGCCTTCTTCGAAGTGCTGCAGGAGAAAGATATGATAGAGGTTGGGAATCTGTCCTTCCTGAAGGAGTTGCTCTACCGGATCAATCGGATGGACCTCCTGGCTGCCCAGCTGGGCTCCAGCCGAGAGGAGATGGAGAGAGAGCTTCAGATTCCAGGCAGGGCACAGGTGTCAGCTTACAGGTAAGCACAGAAGTAGTAAACATTTGCATGGAAAATGTACAACAGTTCTGTTGTGTACTGCTTGTTTTCTGTCTGCACTGTTGTCTTATGAATATCCCAGCGTAATTGTATTTATTACAGCACGGCTACCTGTCATTGTGAGTTTTACATTTTGCAGTTCAAATGTGTAATTTTGGTGTTTACTTCTCATAACTTTCTTAATCATTCTTTCTCTATTCTTTATTGCCAGGCAATTGCTATATGGAATTGCAGAGGACTTGACTCCAGAAGATGTCAAAAGCGTGAAGTTCCTGCTCCAAAAACAAATACCAAAGAACAAGCTCCAGGATAATGCTGTATGCAAAGTGATCTTGATAAGTTTCTTGCAAGGCTAGTTCAGAGTCTGCTAGTTCTTGTAAGAAGGGAGGAAAGAGAAAGCAGTCTGCTCTCACTAAAATCTGTTGTTGAAAGAATTGTGATGTTAGCTGATAGCTGCTGTGTGAAAGAATGGACCTTTTTTTTTCTCATTGTATCTTTTCTCTGCCCTTTTTTGCTCTCCTATTCCTTTCCCTCCACCACCTGTTTCCCTAATCTTTTCTTCTTGCAAAATCCATCGTGCTCTTCCTTTTGTCTTTGCTTGGCATTTATAAAACATTTGTACATATGCTGTATCTAGGAAGAGTGATGTTTGCTGGAGGAAAAACAATGTTTTGGAGACAGAAAATCGAGTTCTAATGTGAGTTCAACCACAAATTTTTGTCATTGGGTACATTTTCCTCTTTATTGTAATTTGGGGAAACAGCATTTTGTTAACTCCCTCACAAAAGTATTAAGAGGTTTGATGAGCTAGTTTAATACTTGTAAGGTAAATAATGAACAGTGTTATAAAAAGGTTTGGTATTATTAAGATGCTTCCTTAAAAGTCCTATTTGTATTGTGGCACCTATAGGAAAATTAGCAGATTTACCTCCAATTTGGTGGACTATTGAGCTTTAAAAAACAAAATTAGCCCTGAACACCTTTACTGTAATAGAAAATGTAAAATGTCACAGCTAAATGACTTAACAGCACTTCATCTGAACACAGAGGCACAACAGGATGCTATGTGGTGCTTTGCACTGCTGAAACAAAGCAGGATAAGCTAGCCATAGGCAATTTCTAATGATCCTGTCTTAACCTTAGTGATGTGTTTCTTCAGTTGCATTGCATCCTGCCCCATGTTTTAATGAGGTTTGGAGGAAAAAGAAATTGGTCTTTAGCTGGTCAGTCTCTGGGAATGAGGATATTGTCTCCTGCTCTGTCCAGAAGTGCCTGATACTGCAGTTATTGAAGGTCATTGTATGAGTTTGGGTTATGTGTTTTTGTTTTACCAGTCAATGTTGAGGGTCTTACTGGAAATGGAAAGAAATGGGATAATTAAAGAAGATGACCTGACAATGCTGAAAGATATCTTAAAGGGAGTTAGAGCTGACGTAAAGAAAAAAATTGATACCTATGAAGAAAAAAAAAAAGGTAAATTATTTAATCTGCTGTTTAAGAGTAGAGCTGTTTTTTTTGTGATTTTTGTGGCTCCATCGTTGGCAGTTTAGGAGTCCAGAGATAAGAGAGAGACCTTACAGTATCCTAGGATAGGCAGAGCAGCTCTTAGTACCTGTGGTTTCTGAAGTTTTCTGCTACTTCATTATCCCATCATACCTTCTTGTATCTCTCCTTGAAATATGTTCTGTGCCTCGTAAATGGTCTGCTTCTCCCTCCTCTTTGCCTTAAATGCAATTTTTCTCTTCAGGAAACAGTGCAGTGCTGGGTTTTGGACCAGGATAGCTTTTCAATCACTGAAAGAGACTGGAGGTGACAGTTGCCTTGGGGAAACTTGTACTGGGAGATTGTCAGCATTATGTTCTCTTACCCAGGCTGTTTGCTCTTAGTCAAAGGAAAAGTCCCTGGAGACCAGGTACTTGGCTAAAGTGTAACCATTAGCTTTCCATACCAGATGTGAAATTTCAAGGACTTCAGTATATCTGGGCTGTTGCAGCTGAGGTGGTGACTTGTGACACCACAGCTGGGCCTTACCCTTTGGGAAACAGGATATGTCAACCAACAACAACTGAGACCTATTAATTTTTTCCCCAGAACCTCCTTTTGGATGACTCAGAATGTGTGTTTCCTTAGACACGTCTATATAGCCCATGCAGTTCCCTGCAGAGATACCAACTAGTTTCCCCAGCATGTCTTTGTGCTGCTGACCTATGCTTATGTCTCTAAAAGAGCAGAAGAAAATTGCCGAGGGTGGCTAGTGTAAGCAAGCCCTGTGTCAGGGGAATGTCTTTTTAGTAGTATTGTTATTATTTTGTCCCCCTTGGTAAGTAGAAAAAGAGCGTGTCTTACAGATCTTGTTGCCCTGACAATTAAATTCCAGTTAAACACATCTATGTAACTTGTAAAAGGGGTACTGTGATTTATTTCCTTGGGTAGAGTCATGGGTTTGATGATTTCTTCACTTACTTCAGGCAGTTGTATTCAAATAAGTGTTTTGTTGCTTTGAGGAGATCTTCCATTAAGCTGGTATTCTGCATCCTTGGTGTGTCCACCCAAACAGTAAAGTTCTCTGGAGAAGTGACAATGGCCTCAGAAATAAATGAACTAGCTGTAGTGTACCACTGTACAAAAATGGGTCTCCTCTTTCACTTACGTATCCCATGGTGGAGATGCTAGTGAATGGCTTACCTGGGGTGACTACTCACATTCAGCCTTTTATTATCTGGATCTTGCTACCAGTGAAAGAGCAGAGAAGAAATGGAGCACGGTTCTGCACAGCTTCAATAACCAGCAGTCTGTGAAACTGAAACCCTACTTGGTCCAGCTCTACAAAATGATGGTGTCTCAGTGATGTGGAAACCACCCTCCACCTCACTCCTTGCACTGTTTTTTTGAGTGTTGAAATACGCACAGTGGAAGATTTATCTTTTTAGTCCTAAAATGTTCTGTTTATCTTCTCCCTCTTAGAAAACGATTCTAAGGAAAAACTCCACTATCCAGTGTCTGTGTCTGTGCATCCAGCAGGACAAGGAGCAGAGGCGGAGACACCACGCCTGGTGAGAAATACCTCAAGATTTCCTTTAAAGTATTTATCCAACTCCTGGGAGGGGGGAGCATAAATTCTTAAGTCTAAGCAGGTGGAAGAGCTCAAAAAGGGAAGGGTTCTGGCTTTGTATGTAGGCCTTGGAACAATTCCTATTTTCAAAACAAGACCAAGCCTTGTTGCTTTGTGAGGACCTGGCTGTCAGCAACCTTTTAGACAAGAAACGAAGGAGTAGCTGTTGTGTGAAGAAAACCAATCTTAACGATAATGAAGACTGGGACATTAAAGTCCCGGCCAGTATACTCCTGGACAGATGGGAAGGGAACAACAGAATCTGCTACCTCAGTAGAAACCCACAAGGACTCTCAGAGGGAATGATAGGGTGCAGGAACTTTTCCCCTGCACATGCAAATTTGTGTTTCTGGATACTCGCTTTCTCCCATGCCAAAATCATATCCTAACCACAGAGAGAGAGGAGGAGGGATTCAGGGAGACAGCAGATTCCTCTCCCCTGTAGCTAGCTTGTATTCTTAGGCTTTTCCTTTCTTGTAACTTGGCCCTCATGATTTTTTTGCGCTTGGACATGAAGGACCAACAGTCTGTGTATAGCATATTTCTCTTTTGGATGCTTGGCACTGCTTTCTTATCTGCTTTCTTTGTTTCTAAAGCTTGTGGAATCATATAAGATGAAAAATAACCCCCATGGTTACTGTGTGATTCTTAACAACTACATTTTTAAAAATCCACGTGAAGCCAGAGAAGGAACAATGGAAGATGGAGGTAAGTACTTTTTTAAATCCAATTACTGGTTGGTTTGTTTCTCTGATAATTTTCTGAAGGAATTATCTAATATATTTCCCGTGAAGAAGAATCATGTTGACTGAGCTCCTTTGCCTCCAGAGTAACTGGAATGACAGTCACTGTAGAAATTGGAAATGCCACTTCCAACAGTTTAGTTGATGGCTTAAAGAAGGAACCACTTTCTGTTCGAGGCAAAAAGCATCATCTTAATTGGTCATATGTTCCAAATAGTGAAGGGGGGATTACTATTCCACCTTTTCACTTTTTGATTGTTTTTAATTCTTAGCTATCATGGAGTAATATTTTTAGATCCTTAAATTCTATTTAATGCTCAAATAAATGCTACTGCTTTATGATTTTCCTTAAAGCCTGTCTTCCTGCAAGAGTCACTTTTAAGATAAACAAGAGTTTATGTTAAAAAAGTAAAATCCATTTCATGAAAGCACACATCACTGATATTTTAAGTCCATCCAGCCTGTCTACAGGCTGCTTGCTTCCCAGCTACTTTCTCACCATCCACACAACAATTAAGTCAACAATTGCTGAGAAGTCTGCATAGCATTTGTTAGCAGGTTACCCTGCCTTCCTTCTTGCTGCATTGATCATTCTCACAGAATGAGGGACCTACTTCATTTAAGAGTGGCAGAATTTGTCATTCTAAAGAGGTACCTCTTCTTTAACTTGCTAAGTGTTGTTCTTAAGCATCTGAGATTACTATGCAATGTGCAGTTAAAGCTTGCTTTAACACAGTAAGCTTCACTAATTTGTACCAATTAATCAGATAATCTGAAACCTGTTTTTGTTTTAGATAGCATGATGCTTAACCCAGTTGTGTTTAAAAGAAATAAAATTAGGCATTTGAGTTTTCCTAATTAGATTTGCAGGCTAAGAGTCAGTCAGGTGAGTTTATTGGTGGGATCTGAACACTTCTGCTAGTATCTGTTCTACCACACAGACACTGATGTTTCAGCATCTTCCTTGTCACTGTTTAACAAGTGCGTTCTGACTCTTTTTCCCAGAGGCTGTGAAGAGGGTCTTTAAGTGGCTTCAGTTTGAGACAGTTGAGCACATGGATCTGGAAGCAAAGCAAATGTATGCGAAAGTTAAAGAATACAGCAAAAAAGATCATAGTAACATGGACTGTTTCGTTTGCTTCATTTTTTCCCATGGTGAAAAAGACAAAGTAAAAGGCGTTGATCATGAGTTTGTAAATATTAAAGATTTACTCTCCTGCTTCAGTGGATCTAATTGTCCTTCTCTTGTTGGCAAACCCAAGCTGTTTTTCATCCAGGCTTGCCAAGGCTCTGTAGGTCATCCACCTGTCACAGTAGAAGACGACTTTTCTGGCCATCTTGAGACGGATGCTACCCCTTTGACTTCCATTCCTGATCAGGCTGATATTCTGGTTGGCATGGCTACAGTGGAAGACTATGAGTGCTACCGCTGTACAAAGACTGGCAGTGTTTACATTCAATGCCTCTGTGACAAGATGAAGGTGCTTTGCCCACTGTAAGTACTATTTTTAATCCATGTATATTTGGGATATTGCAGACATACATACTTAAGCATGCTGTGCTGAAACATCAGTGTTTTGCATTTGTGCTGTATAATGCTTTTCACCTGCAGGACAGGCAGAACAATAATTTTTCTGGAATTGGGCATTGTCATTCTTCTACAGATGAACCAAAGTACAAATGACTTCCCCTAGTTTGCCTGTGACAGAACCAGGGTTGTAATGCTGGAACATTACATATAAACAAGTGTGTGTATGTGTGTGCATGTTTTTTAACATTTTTTGACTGATAAATGATTTTTGTTCCAGTGGAACCTGATGAGAGGTGACTTTGTTGAGTGATTACACGGACAAAAAAATCAGTGTTCTTCAGTAATAATTTTCATTGTTGCCTCCCTCCCATCCCCATCATAAACTTGATTTAGAAAATAGAATTTCTCTTCAGGTATCAGTTTCTCATGGTGTCTAGAAGAGGGCTTGGAGAATGCATAGGTTTGGTTCTTTTTCTTCTTAGCGCACTCTTCTGACTATAACCAAAGTAGAGGACTGTGTTTGCTGGTAAAGCGATGCTACATGGGGGTTGCTTTTATTCCCCCAAACACACTGAATTCTGTGGTTACACAATGGAGTGTGCAATTTCAGTGACAGGCAGGGTGAGGGGAAGATACTAGCCTTCCCTAAGATACCACTTTATTGGAGCAAACATAGATCAGCTTCTTGGCCTAGCTGCAAGTACCATGTATTTCAATGTAACTTTTCTTCATTTTTGTTCAAGCCGCAAGGATCTCATAACCATCCTGACAGAAGTGAACAAGGAAGTGGGAGGAAGAGTATTAAATGGATGGAAGCAGATGCCAAAGATAACATCAACCCTACGGAAGCAATTGATCTTCCAAATTCCACAATGTCTGTCAACTGAAAAGTAGAAAAATAAGAATACACTCAGTGAAGAATCACATCTGGAATGGGCTTCCACAGGGAAGAGAATTTGCAAGAGAAATTACCTGGATCTGTGTAGTTAGCCCCAGTCCTTCAAGGGGCCATGGGACCTAAATTTTGCAATTCCCATGTTTAATCAGTCTCCTGGCACCTGGATCTGTAGCAGTCTGGTAAGGCCATGGAGGAGTACAGATCTGCCTTTCTGTCCTGCAGAAGCAGTGGAGTCTGTTCAGTTTCAAGTGAGGAAGCACTTCCAAGTAGTACGATTTTTAAGAGTTATTGGAAATTCCAATGGAAGTCCCATTTCTGTCTGAGTTGTTATTAAGTCCCTGAAATCTGAAGAAAAGAACAGATAGATTGAGAGCGCTAGATCCCTTCCCAGGGAGCATGTGTAAGATTGTAACTCATGTACCCAGAGGTGAATCATTGTCTGTCTCTGGAAGCTGCATAATTTTTCATGGAAAATAACATCCCTGTCCAAAGGACCAAAAAAACATTATTATGATAATACAAGTTTAGTTCTTTTCCTCCAAATATTTGGTTTGCTTTATGTTACTAATTTACTTGGCTAAACAGTACTGCTGTTTAGGTTTTTTAATAGTAAGGGTTCTAATTGTGGTTTTTCTCAGAGCTCTTAGGGAACAGTCTGTTTTGAATGGCTGTCGACCACTGGAAGGAAGGTCCCGCACCATTAGATCCACTACTCTGAGATGCCTTTTCCTCCTGGCAACTGGCTCTAGCTCCTGTGGACTCTTGTTTCTGTTATAATAAATACCCTTGGTTTTCAACATCACCTTTGTTTGTGTGTTTCTCTTTTGGATGAGCTGACTGAGGGACAGTCAGCATGACGAACACTTACTTCAGCAGCAGAAGTTACTTTGCTCTTGTTGAAGTATTCGATGGCAGCCACCCCGAGGGGTAGCATGTTGATATCCCTTCATTAGCAGCTGGAGAGATGGTAGGAAAGAACAAGTTTAAGTTCAGGACTTTCATGATAATGGCAGCTGATGCCAGTGAGGCTGTTCTTACCTTGCATCCTCAGCAATGCGTAGGGAGCTGTGTGGGATTCTAACAGCTACATTCCTTTTGAGTTTATAACAAGATAAAGGATGGATTTGAGACACTTTGTAACTTCTGCTTTTTTTAGTTTGTATTTTTTTTAAATCCATGTCTAGCCATAAAGCAGGGGTTCTTTATTCAATCCTGCTTGTATTCTTGAAGCTAAACTTTTTTTTCCTAATTCCACACAATGTGTTGGCAGTTGCATTTTGCTCCCCTTACCCTTTTTTACCTTCCAAGTAAAAGGGAGAATGCCCATTCTTAGAATCACAGCTCTGTTCACACAGGTTTCCTAAATAATAAATAGACGTTACAAGCACTATGTAAATGAGAGTGCTGTTTGTGGCAAAAGTTGCCAGAAGGTGTTACCAGGTATGATACAGTTCTGTGGCTGACATTTGGTTAACCATTTAGGAAATGTGGCAACAATTTGTTTACATTTTTATAATGTTTTCATAAATGAGACCCTGATATGAAGTTAGTAATTAGATTTGTGAATGTTGTTTTATGATAAAGAAATATAGCTTAAATGAAGTAACTGCTTCCTCTGGGAGAAACTTGCTGGAAGGTGGCAGCTGCTCCACTAGTGAAATTGTGAATCTACGGCATTTTGGGTTTTTTTCATATTTCTCTGTGTCAGAGTTCAATACTCACAGACCAAGTTCTTTCAGATATTCCACATGAGGAGGAGCTGGATATAAAATTTACTTATTTGGTATATTTAGTGCTAAATGGGATTTTGATTTAGTCGAGTGATGCAGCAACATACTGAAATCGCAACACAAGCATAATTTAGCAATTGCAATATACAGTTGAATCACAATACAAACATGATTCTCATTACCCATCTCTGTGTGCTCACCATCATGACATTGGGCATCCCCAGTCACGATGGAACATATGGGTTGAAGCCAGCTCAAGCCCAATGCTCTTTTCAAAGTTTATATGTTTTATCTGTTGTCCAGTTTTTATACTTTTATGTTGGGCTGAGCCACGTATTCACACCCCCCATGCTGGTCTGGCTAGCTCAGGAAGACATTATTCTTTGTTAATTGGCTTGGGAAACCTGATGATTCACAGGTGCAGCTGTCTTCTCTAAAACAAAGGTTACCATCCAGTCTCCCTGATGTTGAGGTAAATTGAGCTTTCTGTACGATATATTCTTCCCCGAGATCATTGTTTTTTTCCGCTTGTCCTCTGAGCTGTCCTCCACCGGGGCAGGGGGGGGCGCTGGTCAGTCATACCCTGTCATTAAATTGGCATGGTATTTTGTTCTACCCGTTAAAATCAGGCCACCTCCATAGCTAACATTATTGCCTGCTGATGAAGACCACCTAGAAGGGAGAGAAAACCCCGTCAAAATCCTCTAAAGGACTGCAGGAGCTAGCTGTACTGTGAGTTTTTATGTGGCTCATGCAGTGATCAAGGAAGGAGAAAACACACTTTCAGTTTTATGGTTCTGAGCAAAGTATGCTCACACACACCTGCGGCAGGGTGGCTGATATGTTCTTGCATGTGTTTGTGACCCTCCCACAGAACTGAGAGGTAAGAAGGAAGTCAGATCTGCAATTTTCTGACTCTGATTTTCCTCTGTGGCACGACTTGGAGAACGGTGAGGGGCAATCGCCTTTCCTCTCTGAAGGACCTCAGCTATAGTTACTTTGCCTGTCCTCCCTTTTCTTCAACTCCTGGCCGGGAGGCCAAATGCTATAGCAAAACAATCTTGGCACTCAATTCTGTGTTTTGTTTTGAGCCAGCAGAAGCACTACCGCCAGAAAGTGGAGTCAGAAGGTTGGTAGGAAAGTAAAGTTGGTGAGTTGAAGTCCTGCAGGCTTAAGCTGAAAGCAGGCAAGATCAGAGTGAAGCTGTTTGCAAAGGGAAATGCTTAGAAGACTTGGGGAGGACTGTTAGCTGCAGAGGCGGAAATAATGTCATTCAGTGGCATGAATCCCTACCCAGTCATTTGTATCTTGCTACCTATTCGTTCAGTTTAACATCAGTTTCCCAGAGAGCTGTTTACGCCCACCTTCCGTGGGAAGTTTGTCATTCTCTCCACCATAACGGTTTTAGAGTGACTTATTAATGTGCTGCTCTTGGGATGGGTTAGTGGTACGTGTGAGGAGCCTGCCTGTGTTCAGATTGCTGCCAGCTTCTCCCATTGCACGGGCTGCTGTAAGTACGTGTTTTCTCACCACCTATATAAGGGTTCACTCTCAGTTCTCTAAGTGGTGCAAAATTCAGGTACTGCGAAGTTTTGATTCGTTGAATTGTTGGCTACGTCTGTGATCTGTAAGATCTCCTGCAGGAAATCTTGAAGCTCAGGGAGAAGTGGAAACAAAATACACACCATTTAGGAGATTAAGCTCTGCAGCAGGGCGTCCGGAGCTAGATTTTTCTCGAGAGATGTTGGGTGTTCAGCCCTTGCTGGTTACCCTTTTTATTCTGACCCCTAACTAACATGGGCACATTCTCTCTGAAATTATTCAGATCTGCCTCTTTTCAACTAGAGATGTGTCAAATTATGAACAGAGAATGGCATGTTTAAGCTGCAATGACTTCTGTGCAATGCGCTAAAAAATATAGTTGAGATCTTTGGGAATTCCCAGATACTAATTTCTGTGTGTCCTTTCTGTAATTGTGCCTTTGCTTGTCACTGTATCTGTTCTGTTATTGACAGCCACAGGAATTCCCCAGGCCCCAAACATGGCTGGCTTTTGTGGGTGCCAACTGTAATACATTTCTAGCTAGGTGGAACATTATTCTGGACATGTCTTCCAAGCTTGGCCTAAGTCTTTTACATTAGTTTTATATTTGTGTAGCCACTTTGTGTTTAGGCCTGATTTGTCCAGGCATATCAGTGCGAAGAGAAGGATCATACCTCCTTCAGTCTGTTTACTAGGAAGAGCTTGTTTTAACGTGACTTGAGGGCATGTTAGTTCATGGGCTGTTAAAAAGTGGCTTGCCATATTCAGATTACTTCCACCTTTGACCCAATTTGCCACACATGCAGCAATCAAATATCTTGTGTAGAGTTCTGAACATTGATAAGCCACTGCTATGATAACGGTGTAAAGATTTCTGCTTAATGTTGTAAAACTGTTTTTTTCCTGTGTTTTGAAGGGGGAAGGGACTCTGTTTTTAAATCACTGCTTAGCGAGAACACTGTTTCTTTATTTGGAGAGTACGGATGTTCTGAGGGTGGCTCTTCTGCTCAAGGTGAGCACTAAGGTGTTAATGTTCGTTTTCAGAAGGATGAAATGCCAACTGGTAAAATCTCCTCCCTCCTCCCTCCCGTTGTTGTGAAATACCATCTATTGAGAGTGCTGCACCAGAAGGTATATCAGAGGTGGTGCACCATCCCAGGGTCTTATGCCATCGCGCAGTGCTCCTGCGAGCCTGCTCCTGCTGCTAGAAGGGTCTTCAGTAAATCTGGGAGGGGTGGGAAGGGAGCTGGTTCCTTGGCCGGTGGCTGTTAGGGTACAGGGCCGAACACCTGCATTGAGTGTGCTGCATTGCCTGCCAGCAGCCCCAAAAGGCTCGCAAGGAGGACATCGAGTCAGTGGCATTATGAGCTTCTTTCTTTTTGTGTTAAAATGGCAATGAATTGTGAGTGCCTTTAAACTAGAGAGAGACGATTGCAGGAAAAGCCCAGGCCGAGGGAGACCTTTAGGCTTGCACTAGTAGGTTCAGTTTTCTCAAGAATAGTCAGTGCTTCATAACTGTCAACGGAGGGGGCCTAAAATGCGTCTGAGAGAAGTCCTCTCTGGCAGACGCGCAGTTTTTAAGTTAAGTTGTGGGTTTTTTCGGTTTAAGTTAGAAATCCAGAAGGAACCACAGCTCCCAGGGGCCCGGGCGCCGCCTCCTGCCCGCCCCAGCCCGGCGGCGGGCGGAAGCGCGGCGGGCGGCGGGAAAGCGCCCTCTGACTTTGCCCGGGCTGGCGCCGCCGCGGGGCGATGGAGTTCTCCAGGCAGCGGCTGCTAGTGGTCAGCGAGGAGCTGGACGAGGCCGAGCTGGCGGCTCTGAAGTTCCTCAGCCTGGAGCACGTCCCCATGAGGAAGCTGGAAGCCATCCAGAAGGCACAGGACTTCTTCGAAGCGCTGCAGGAGAAAGGCATGATCGAGGCGGGGAACCTGGCCTTCCTGAAGGAGCTGCTCTACCGGATCAGTCGGATGGACCTCCTGGCTGCCCAGCTGGGCCCCAGCAGAGGGGAGATGGAGAGAGAGCTTCAGATCCCGGGCAGGGCACGGGTGTCGGCCTACAGGTGAGTGACCGGCGGCGCGGGTTCACCGGGCGGCCCGGGGGGGTGCCGCACGCCGCCGGCGGCCCGGCTGAGCCTCACCCGGGAGCTCGCTCTCTGGGGTCGGCTGCCCTTCTCATGTGGTCGGTGTAAGCTTTTACCGACGGTTTGAACACCAGGCTAAGGTTTGGCAGCGCACAAGCGTCTTCCAAGAGAACGCAGGTACAAGCCGTACGGAAAGTTGAACTTTCTGTCCAGTAAAAGGGAGAAAACTAAAGCCGCGCCTTTCTGAAATGCTTAGCAGCCCCCAGAGGCCTCCCTGCCCGGGTGCTGCGTGGTGCGGTAAGGGACAGGGTGTGAGCTTTTGTTCTCAACTCCAGAAAGTTTCAGCGTGGTTTTGATTTTAGGTAAACAGAGATCTTTTTAATTGTAGCTGAAAATGGTTTGACTTCAGGCTGTCCTGGGACTGATGTCCCCCCATTTAA